CGGATTCCACTCCTCCAAGATCAAAGGCCAAACAAGCTCGGCGTTCCAGTCATTGGGCCGCAACACATCGCCGACCTGCTGGCGCCAACGAGCTAAGAAGGTTTGCCAGGCATCGCTGCGGTTACAGCACATGCACATCATCATAAGCAGAACATATACCACGCTGCCACCGCACAGGGCGTTCACAACTCCCAAAAACCACACCGAAACCCGATCGGATCGGCAATCGGCACCACCGTGGCGGGCACCTTTGAATGAAGCGTTGCTCATATGCGCCGCTACACCCTCCAAGTCTGCAGAACGCAGACGCGCGATTCCAGGCGCCACCTGGAGCAACAAAAAAACAGCAAGCCGGCTGCGACCATCAATGTGTACTTTTCCAGACGCCCACATACGCCGATCATGCCCGAGCATCGCCAACATAGTAAACACAGGACGTTGTATCACTGAGGCGATATACACATGTTCCTTAACAACCGCACTGTCGTTTCCGGCAACCCGTACACGTGCATGATGGGTTCGCATATCACACAACGTCTCATCCCCCAAAAAGCCTGATCAAAAGCGCGCTATGAAGAGCCAGAGCCGTGACGACGATTGAGAAAGAGGAGGAGGAGGAGGAGGAGGAAACTGTTCGATAATATGTACATCGGCGCTACGAACGTTTTGACCCGTCTCGTGCTTCCACTAAAACAAACCAAAATGAAAGTCCCAGTGGTGGGTGCCGCAAGGCTGTCAAACGCCGCCATGCTGCATGGGCGTGGTGAACATGAGAACGAAACTTCAACGCGGCACACTGCACGTACAAGTTGGAGGCCCCCGTATTTGCTTCGAGCCTCCCCCTCCCTGGGAGGAAACTCGAAGCGCGTGCGCGTCGGTCACCCCCCCAGCTACGTAGGCACGGCGGCCTGGGGATGGACAAAAAGAGAGGCAAAGCAAGCGATGCGCAACATGCGGCCGAGCGCGAAGGCGACCCGTGCCCACGACCCGCGACCGCGACTCGCACCAGCGACCAGCACTCGAGGCCCACGCCCAGGACCAAAGCCCGCGACCAGAGCCCGCGACCCGCGCCGGAGACCCGCGCCCGCGACCAGCGACCCGCGCCCTTAGTGGCTGCCTCATTGACGGGTTTCCTGCCAAAGGTGCCCGCTCTTGCTACCGTAATGGGTGCCTCATCCATGCTCAGAACGCCTGTGGTACAGCATCACCCGGGTGACTCCAACCTAAGACCCATGGAGGCCCAACCGGAAAGAAAAAAAATGGGGCGCGCCGAAGAACCCAGGGGGTCCGGTTTCCGCGGAGGAAAGAAAAAAACCCTGGCGATGGGGTTCGAGCACGGGGGTTACCCCCCCCTCAAATTCCGGAAGAGGAATGAACTCCCAGCCGCGGGGGTGCCCGCGCGAGGGGCCCCACCCCCCCCAAGCGCAACCAGAGGAAGAAAAGCGTGAGAGCCGAGACTGTAAGTGCAATGCAACAACACCTTAGTCGGGTTGCACAATTTTACCAGCTGTAATATGATACCAGCTGCACTCGAATATTTGCACGGCAGGACAACGTGCTCTCTAGGAACAACTGCGCGATAGGACATGATAGTACCAGTTGTACTCAAGTACGAGTTGCACGGTAGTCGGAGGGGTTCAGGGGTTCCAACGGCAACGCGCGCGGGGAAGAAGGAAAGAAATCCATGCGCCGCCAGGGGTCCCGGGTTTAACGGGTCGCCGCGAAGGTTGACCCCCCGCGGAAAGAAGAAAAGAAATCCGGCCGGGGGGTTGGGGGGTTGAGGGATGAGTCACGGGGGCGATGGTACAGCATTGCCAGTGACGCCACTCCTGGCAAGCAGCCGTACGCAGTCAGGGGTGCTTGTGCCAATCAGCGCCTCAGCACCACCGTAACTGCGAGCACCCAGCCGCCTGTGGAACCACATTGACAGCGAGCACCACTCCTGATAAGCATCAACATGCAATCAGGAGTGTTTGAGCCAATCAGCTCCCCAGAGCCACTGGGACTGTGATCACCCAGCCGCCTGTGGGACCACATTGTCAGTGAACACCTCAAAAACTCCTTCACCGAGACCTTCCTCATCGAAAAACACCCTCATCGAAAACCGCATTAATCAAACAACTCCTTCACCAGAAAACTCCTGCATCCAAAAAATCCTACATCAAACAGCTCCCTTCATCCACAAACCACTGCCTTGTTTGAAGAAAAAGCAAATTCACAGACAAACTCAAAAAAACTCATGTACCGAAAAACTCGTCAATCCAAAAACTCGGTCATCTAAAGCTCATCGATCGACAAACTCTTTCACCGAACAGAAAAACCTGAATCGAAAAGTCTTTGACCGAAAAACTCCTTGGCTAAACAAATCCTTTATCAACAATCTCTGTCATCGAAGAAACTATCTCAACGAACAACTCATACATCCAAACCGAAAATTCTCCTTCATCGAAAAACTTCTTCATCCACCCACCTCCCCCCCCCAAACAAAAAAACTGGCAAAGCAGCCTAACAGCGATGTGTATAAGCATAGCTGGAAGCATTCCACTTAAGTTTCAGGTGAGAACCCAGTTGTAGAATTCTGCTGTTCTCGCAGTCGCAATCGCATTCGCAATGACAGTCGCAGTGGCAACGGCCTTAGGATCCAATGGAATCCTAAGGATCCCTAGGGATTCCTACGGCATCCTTAGGCATCCTTAGGAATCCATAGAATTCCTTAGGAAACCTTAGGAATCCTGATTCCTAGGGGTTCCTAGGGATTCCAGAAAGGATTCCTACGGAATCCTAAGGATTCCGAAGGATTCGCCTGCCTCGGCCTCAGCCTCAGCCTGCCTCAGCCTCAGCCTGCCTCAGCCTCAGCCTCAGCCCATCTCAGCCTCAGCCTGCCTCAGCCTGCCTCAGCCTCAGCCTCAGCCTGCCTCGGCTTGCCTCGGCCTCAGCCTCAGCCTACCTCGGCCTCAGCCTCAACCTCAGCCTGCCTCCGCCTCAGCCTCAGCCTCAGCCTGCCTCAGCCTCAGCCTGCATCAGCCTCAGCCTCAGCCTGCCTCAGTCGCAGCTTGCCTCAGCCTCAGCCACAGCCTCAGCCTCAGCCTGCATCAGCCTCAGCCTCAGCCTGTCTCGGCTCGCCTCAGCCTCAGCCTCAGCCTGCCTCGGCCTCAGCCTCAGCCTCAGCCTGTCTCAGCCTCAGCGTCAGCCTCTCAGCCTCCGCCTACCTCGGCCTCAGCCTCAACCTTCAGCCTGCCTCAGCCTCAGTCTCAGCCTGCCTCGGCCTCAGCCTGCATCAGCCTCAGCCTCAGCCTGCCTCAGCCGCAGCTTGCCTCAGCCTCAGCCTCAGCCACTGCCTCAGCCTCAGCCTGCCTCAGCTTCAGCCTCAGTCTCAGCCTGCCTCGGCTTGCCTCAGCCTCAGCCTCAGCCTGCCTCGGCCTGCCTCAGCCTCAGCCTGCCTCAGCCTCAGCCTCAGCCTCTCAGCCTCAGCCTCAGCCTCAGCCTCAGCCTGCCTCAGCCTCAGCTCAGCCTGCCTCAGCCTCTCAGGCCTCAGCCTCAGCCTGCCTCAGCCTCAGCCTGCCTCAGCCTCCTCCTCAGCCTGCCTCAGCCTCAGCCTGCCTCAGCATCAGCCTCATCCTCAGCCTCAGCCTGCCTCGGCCTCTGCCTCAGCCTCAGCCTGCCTCAGCCTCAGCCTCAGCCTGCCTCAGCCTCAGCCTCAGCCTGCCTCAGCCGCAGCCTGCCTCAGCCGCAGCTTGCCTCAGCCTAAGCCTCAGCCTCAGCCTCAGCCTGCCGCAGCTTCAGCCTCAGCCTCAGCCTGTCTCGGCTCGCCTCAGCCTCAGCCTCAGCCTGCCTCGGCCTCAGCCTCAGCCTGCCTCAGCCTCAGCGTCAGCATCTCAGCCTCAGCCTGCATCAGCCTCAGCCTCAGCCTCAGCCTGCCTCAGCCTCAGTCTCAGCCTGCCTCAGCCTCAGCCTGCCTCAGCCTCAACTTCAGCCTGCCTCGGCCTCAACCTGCGTCAGCCTCAGCCTCAGCCTGCCTCAGCCTCAGCCTGCCACAGCCTCAGCCTCAGCCTGCCTCGGCGTGCCTCAGCCTCAGCCTCAGCCTGCCTCGGCCTCAGCCTACCTCGGCCGCAGCCTGCCTCAGCTGGGGCATTCAAAATATGGCACAGGACTGGTGTTCTGGGAACACGAAGATCACGAAGTGGCCCGCAATTGGCTCGGGGCAATCAAAATATTGTACAGGAATGGTGTTCTGGGAACACAAAGAACACGAAGTGGCCTACAGTTGGCTCCGGGCATTCAAAATGTGGCCTGGGAAGAATGTTCTGGGAACACGAAGAACACGAAGTGGCCTACAGTGGGCTCCGGGAATTCAAAATGTGGCCTGGGAATGGTGTTCTGGGAGCACGAAGAACGCGAAGTGGTCTACAGCTGGCTCCGGGCAATCAAAATATTGTACAGGAGTGGTGTTCCGGGAACACGAAGAACACGAAGTGGCCTACAGTTGGCTCCGGGCATTCAAAATGTGGCGTGGGAATGGTGTTCTGGGAACACGAAGTGGCCTACAGTTAGCTCCGGGCATTCAAAATGTGGCCTGGGAATGGCGTTCTGGGAATGGATTCCTAAGGATTCCTAAGAATTCGCAAGGATTCCTAAGGATTCCTGGGGCTGCACTTTTGTCCGGTTCCTTGTCCGGATCCCGCCCAGACCCCCCGGGGCGTCAAGATGCTCTCTTTTGATCCCACTAGAAACCTATCAGCAAAAGCTATTAGGTAACTACTAATTCGTCAAAGAACTCCTTCATCATTCAAATAATCCTTCATCCAAAAACTCCTTCATCGAAAAACTCCCTCGTTCGAAATCTCCTTCAACGAAAACTCCGTCACCGAAGAACTCCTTCATCGAACACACCTCCATCGAAAACTCCTTCATCCTTCATCGAACAACTCCTTGATCCAAAACTCCTTCAACGAAAAACTGCTTCATCGAAAAAACCTTCATCGAAAAATCCCATGAAGCCCTCATCTGCATCCAAAGGGCTCCGGGTCCACAGCCCAGGCTCGGTGGCGGGTGCGGGCGGGACCGAAGGCCACTCGATAACTTCCACGATCGTCGCAAGCTGCGAATGGCGCGAGCCACTTGCACATGGCGGACGAGGAGGATGACGATGAATTGTGCGAGGATGGGGAGGAAGTCATGGGCGGGAGCGCCATTCAGAAGTCGAACCCGAAAGGTTTCGAACCCGACAAATTCGTTGAACAGTTCCAGACCCGTAAAGATCTCCTGGGGCCAAGGAGTTCGAAACCCAGGCGACCAGCAATCCCGAAAACTCGAAACTTCCAGAATCCAACCAGCCCTCTGGGCGTAGGTGATCTAGAGCGGTTTCTCTTCCACCACCACCCCTGTTCCCCTTCGGGGAGGGGTGCACCCCTCCCCCATACCCCCATCCCCTGGACCTGGAGGAGGGTCTTCGCGGGGCGTTGGAGCGTCCAAGATGGCCCAAGATGGCTACAAGAGGGCCTCAGAGAGCCCAAGATGACCTCCAAGATGGCTCAAGATAGCCCAAGCTGGCGCAATATGGTTTCCAAGATGCTCCAAGACCGTTCCAAGACGGCTCCAAGTTGCCATGGAGCCTTCCACGGAGGCCCCCGAGAGTCCAAAGTCGCACAAAGACCTCAGGAGAATCAATGAATTGTGCCTTCTCGCCTTTTTGCTTTCGATGGCCTTCCGAGGCATCAAAATTGCCCAAGAAAGCCCAAGAGGGGCCCAAGAGAGGCCCAAGAGAGCCCCAAGACGGCCCAAAGAGCGCCCAAGAGCGCCCCAAGAACACTCCAAGAGGGGCCCAAGAGGCGATGTTGGAGTCTTCCGAGGCAGAGGCTAATGAATGAACCCCCCTTGCTTGATCGATCTCCTCCAAGATGGCTCCAAGAGCGCCACCAAGGCTCCCGAGAGCGCCCCAAGAGAGCCCAAAGAGGCGCCAAGAGACCTCCGAAACAGCGCTTCCAAGGCGGTTGTTACACTGCACTCTTCTACACTTCCCTGATCAAGGCAACTCTCCTGGCAATCTGCTCTGGATGGGCTGGTGGGGATACGTCATATGTGTTGAAGGCTTCTAAATTTCACAAACCAAAAACTGCTTGAAAATTCCACAACTTGAACAAACATCATAATTTTCCACAAAAACACACACACAAACACACACACACACACGCACACACACACACACACACACACACACACACACGCACGCACGCACGAACACACACAACAAAAAAAAAAATGCCGGGGAATCCGAAACCGAGGCGTTCAGGAATCCCAAAACATCCAGAACCAACAGAATTTTGAATTTTTCAGCAGTTCCAAAATTGTCGACAGTTCCATGTAAAATTCCAAACCCTTTGAGCCCCACAAAAAATGGACAACCTGCTCCAAATCAAAAAGTGTGCCCTTACGCGTTTCAGCCACCGTGAGGGGGAGATATAGGGGGTTGCTACGCATGGATCGACGCGACGCGAGGCTGAAGCGGATGCGAGGGAAGCATCATCAAGGCAGAATTCCGTCCGAAGGGAAAGCGGGGGAGTGGCTGAGAAGGCACCCTGGTCGACCGTACCCCCCCCCCCCGCCACCGATCAAACGGCCGGCACCACCCTCGGATTCCCGCACACCTGCGAAAGCTCGTGCTGGTCGCCGCAGCCACCAACGACGCCGTCGAAGAGCTTCCCGTGGGCGAGCCCGGAAGAGGACGCGGGGCGCGCCACATTGTACCTCTGGTGCGGCAAAAGAGATATCGATCCGATCATTTCTTAAGGGAAACTGGGACACACAAATAAATACACACAAATAAAAAGATTCCCCATATTTTCTCATATTTTCTAGGTTTTTGTCTTCCCCACCACTTCCCATATTTTCCCATGTTTTCCTAGGGATCGACGAATAATTGTGTCTGTGTGTTTTTTCCCCTCCTGATCATTACTGCCCGTCTCCAGACGTCTCTCCCCTGGGGTGCTTTCTGACCAGAGCTCTCCAGCGAACCCAGACGTGACGAGGGCCCCCCCCAAGTCGGCGGCGCGCCCCGGGGGGGAGGCGGAGGGCGCGGGCATGCTCAGGAAGATCAGAGGGCCTCTGACCCTCTGAGAGGCTTCCTGTCTCCTCCTCCTCCTCCTCCTCCTCCTCCTCCTCCTCCTCCCTCCTCCTCTCCGAGGGCACAGAGGGCTTCTCAGAAAGCTGGGAAGCTTCTGAGATGCCTCGCCGCCTTCCAAGGAGGGCTGTCGCCTCTCACTCCCCCCCCCTTTGGCGCACCGCCGACAGATCCAGGAGGCCCAGAAGGCGACAGCGAGGGGAACACATCGGTTTTGCTTCCACCTCCGCGCAGCCTCGTGGCGAGGCAGCAGAACGCGCCCGCGCAGCAAGCTGCCAAGAGGGCCCCGAAGACGACGACTTGCGCGATGGCCGGGTCCATCCTGCGCCCCTGTCCAGAAGGCTCCCCCCAACGGCCCGGTAGCCGCACCGCCCAGTCGGACATATCTGGACAGGACATGCGATCGGACACACGACCCTTCCGACAGTGACGTAGCCTCGGACGTAAAGAGCACCTTTGCCTCAGACATGCAGGGGGCACGAGGCGGACTAGACAATACGCAAGGATAACCTGGATTCGGCAGGGTCGACCTCACAACCGTTGCCGACTGCAGGAAGGGTCGGCTCCGCGGGGGGAGCATCGAGCTGGGATCGGCGACACATCGCCGGTAGATCGGCGATGGGCCCATTTCGGCGATGCATGGGCGAGTGGAGGTCGACGCATCCCCCCATGAGCAGATCCCCCCCCCCGATTCACCCACGCTGTCCCCGAGGTGAGCCGAGGGTGATACGGGGCGAGTGGAAAGCTCGAGGACCTGCGCGCCGCTCTGCGAGGACGCCTCTCGAGCGCCCCAGGGCACCCCCAAGAATCGGGGATCTTCTGACCCGGGTCAATCCAAACCCGGGTCAATCAGGCCTGCAAAATCCTGCAAAATCCTGCACCCAAACCCGGGTCAATGCGAAGGATCCTGCAAGATCCTGCAGGATCCTGCACCCAAACCCGGGTCAATGCGACCCTGGCCATGCAGGATCCTGCAAGATCCGGCGCTCTGGCTGACCCCCGTTTGCACTGACCCCCGTCTCGAGGCTCCCGAAAGAAGCCCTCCCCACGCCGCCCGGCGACGGACCGCTGGGGTGAGCCCTTCGGGACCTCGAGGTCTTCGGCGGTTGGGGCCCCGAGCTCCTGCACGCGGCCGGCCGCCGTGGCCAGGAGCATGTTGCTCCTGCAGCGCCGAGGCGCTGCACGGAGGCGCGGCTCGCCGAGGCCCGCGCGCCCCTCTCGCCCGGGCCTCCGGCGGGAGGCCCCGGCATCGGCGCGGGGAGCCCCTCCCCCGCGCCTCACTGACTACCTACCAGACCACCCCAACCCAACCCGAAGACCCGAATTTCGGGTTGGGGGGGGTACGGGTTCCATATGTGTCGTCTCGATGTTCCACGACCCCCCCCCACTGGAAATCGAGGATAAGTTGGGGCCTTCGGGTTGGGTTGGGGTGGTTTGGTGGGTGGTGACTCACTGGACCTCCGGCACAGGGGCGCGGGGGAGGAGAGCCCAGCGCTGGTGCCCCGAGATGCGCGCGGGCCTCCGCGAGCTCGTGCTCGTGCCGCGCCTTGGGCCCTCGAGCTCCACTGGCCACCGCTCCCCCAGGAATAGGCGCCCACGCCACCAGCTGCCACACAGTCGCGGTCTGTGACGTCGAAGTCCTCGCCGCCTCGGTAGTGCCCAACGAAGCGGCAGCCGTCCGTCCGCACTTGGAGGGTATACTCGCGGCCATTCCCGTAGGACTCGTTCGTCGAGGCGTGCCATAACTCGCTCTGTACGCCATTGCGGACCTTATATAACGTGCGACAGCCGCCGGCATTGTTGGAGTACGAATACTTATAAAAATTATGAGTATCCGCCACGCGGAACACAATACCAACAGCGTCGTCGTCCTCGCCGGCGACATCGACGCTCCACACGTAATCAGCTAACGCACTGCCTGCGTATAGGATCGTTCCCTTCTGAGACGGGCTGCATTGGTGACCGCAATGAACATTGCTTGTCTGCGTAACCACGCCACGGGACCAGGTCCAATTGGACTGTTCTCTGGTCTCACCAGCCTCGTCGTAAACGGCGTATGCTGATAGCGCTGGTGTGATGTCGGTCATGCCCAGTGGTGGAGGTCTAGCAGTGGAGGCTGGGCTCACCGTGGTTGAGTCCGTGCTCGCTCCCTCTCCCACTGCCACTTGGCCGCACATCAGGAACACGAGCCCCTCGCAGAACGCAAAAATTGCACTCAAAGGCGCCATCCCTGCACACTGCCTGCGGGTGCTTGCCTGACGGCCGCACGAAAGAGCTCTCGCAAAAATGACAATCAGCAAAACGGCTTGGAACTGGTGAATTGCGTCGCTCGTTCGGCAGACCTCTACCCCCGCAAGTCGTGTTCCTGTCAAGTGGGTTTTGCTATGCTAAATGCGCGTCCGATGTGGTCGACCATGTTGCCAGCCCAGCCTCCTACTATTGGTGCTGCACTGTAGTTCATGCCAAGTTGAATGGGGAGCTATGAAAAAAAAACACTCTACCTCCTCCTCCTCATCATCATCATCATCCTCATCCTCATCCTCATCCTCATCCTCATCCTCATCCTCATCCTCCTCATCCTCCTCATCATCATCATCATCATCATCATCATCATCATCATCATCATCATCAGCATCAGCATCAGCATCAGCATCATCATCATCGTCATCATGCTCCTTATCCTTATCTCCCTCTCTTTACCCCGCATCTCCCACATTGGAAGCCTCTGTCTCATGCCCACCTGCACTTGCATCGCATGGAATTGCATTAAAACGCATGGGGTTGCCTTTCCGTTGCATCACTCCCCATTGCACTGCATTACATTGCGTTGAGAGATCCTCGCAACTTTGGGCTCTGGCTTGCCATTGGCAAGGTGGCCTGGCCCATTTCGCCTGGAACGTCCTCGCAACTCTGGGATAAGATGCCACGCGCGAAGTGGTTTGGGTCCGTTTCTCCTGAGACATCCTCGCAACTGTGGGCTCAGAGATGCCCATACCCTGAGGAGGTCCAGCCCGTTTCGCCTTAGACATCCTCGCAACTCTGGGCTCAGGCATGCCGCGCGCGGAGTGATCTGGCAAATTTTGCCTCAGACATTCCCGCCTGAGACATCTTCGCGAATCTCCGAGATGCCGCGCGCGAGGTGGCCTGGCCAACTTCACCTGAGACATCTTCGCAACTCGGGGCTCCTAGATGCCGCGCGCGAAGAGGTGCGGCCCGGCTCGCCTGAGGATCCTTGCAGCTCCGGGCTCAGATGTGTCCTGGCTTGATGTGGTCTGGCCCATTTCGCCTGAGACATTATTGCCACTCTCGGCGCAGAGATACCTTTCGCGAGGTGGTCTGGCCCACTTTCGCCAGAGGCATCATCGCAACCCTGGGATCGGAGATGCTCTGACCTGAGTTGGTCCAGCTTGATTCGCAAAGGACATCCTCGCAACTCTGGGCTCAGATATGCTTTGACCTGTGGTCCGAGCCAGTTCGCCCAGGGCCACGCGCGAGGTGGTCCAGCCAAACTCGCCCGAGACGTCCTCGCAACTCTGGGTTCTGAGATGCTGCATGCGAATATGTGTATAGAATATACACACATGTATGTGTATACATATATATATATACACATAGGGGAAGTGGCTGGGTGCGTGACTGAAGTGGGGATGCGTGGTGAGAAGTCTGCTTGTTGCGTTGTCGTTGTTGTTGCTATTATTGTTGTTGGTGCTGTTGCTGTTGTTGGTGGTGGTGGTGTTGCTGTTGTTGTTGGTGTTGTTGTTGCGTGTCCGAAGCCATACACACTCGCAGATTACGCTGTGTTCGCGTCCCCGAAACCATGAACCTGCGTAAATTACGCTATACTTGCGAGCCCGAAGCCGTACACCCTCGCAAATTACGCGCTATCCGCGTATCCGAATTCAACCATATCATCGGAATCTTAATTTGTCTTGCCGATTACTCATCGTCTTCGCGTGCAGTCCCGACGCTGCTTCACGGCGGCGCCAAGGCCTCATGACTTCGCTCTTGCATTGCCCATTATCCGAGAGAGGGGGCCGGCGGCAGGGGGCGAAGCCCTTAAGGGTAATCATTGATCTCCAGAAACGGTTCCGCGCGCTGTCGCCTCGACGCCGTCTACATTTTCGCTTAAAACGAGGTTCCCGCTCGAGCGTTGGCTTGACCCTACATGTGGGCCCTTGGAGGCCCAGCTACGACAACAACGGTTCCCACCCAATACTCCCTTACAATTTACCCAAAAACACCCTGGCCAGAGAGGCCCCCGAACTCAGGAACGGCGCTCTCGCTCGACTTCCTCGCAATTCAATTAAGTTGGCGGAGGCCCAGCCACGACAAGGGCTCCTGCTCGATTCTTCCTCACGATTTACTCCGAGAGCCCCTGGCCAAAAAGGCCCCCGAACTCAGGAACTGCGCTTTCGCTCGAGACTTTCCCGTAGTTCGAGCAAGTTGGTGGAGGCCCCGACATGGCGACAAGGGTTCCCGTTCGATATTTCCCCATAAGTGCTCCGAGAGCCCGTGGCCATACAGGCCCCCGAACTCAGGAATGGCGCTCTCGCTCGAGACTTCTTCGCACTTCCGTCAGTGGCCGACAAGGAAGAGATTCCCCCCGATAGGGGGTGCAATCGAAGACAAAGCGGGCGGGTATCGAGGTGGGGTTATACGGAATGCAAGACACGCGTGCCAGTAAGAGCGATACGTCTTAAAATGATTGTTGGTGTTGATGTTGTTGTTGCTGTTGTTATTGTTGTTATTGGTGGTGGTGGTGATGTTGATATTGTTGTTGGTGATAGTGTTGCTGCTGCCGTTGTTGTTGTTATTACTGATGTTGTTGCTGCAGTTGAACTCTCATTTCTGAAAAATAACAATTGTTGATCCCCCCCACCGGCGCATACTGTTTTTCAATCAAAGTGTGCCCCTCGACGCGCGCACCCTGCATTTTATCAGGGAAAGTGTTGAAGCTCAATCTGGCCACATTTTGGATGCCCGGAGCCAACTGTAGGCCACTTCGTGGTCTTCGAGTTCCCAGAACTCCATTCCCGGGCCACATTTTGGATGCCCGGAGCCAACTGTAGGCCACTTCGTGGTCTTCGAGTTCCCAGAACTCCATTCCTGGGCATGATTTTGAATGCCCGGAGCCAACTGTAGGCCACTTCGTGTTCTTCGAGTTCCCAGAACTCCATTCCCGGGCCACATTTTGAATGCTGAGGCAGGCTGATGCTGAGGCTGAGGCAGGCTGAGGCTGAGGCAGGCTGAGGCTGAGGCAGGCTGAGGCTGAGGCCGAGGCTGAAGGCAGACTGAGGCTGAGGCTGAAGCAGCTGAGGCTGAGGCTGAGGCAGGCTGAGGCTGAGGCTGAGGCAGGCTGATGCTGAGGCAGGCTGAGGCTGAGGCTGAGGCTGATGCAGGCTGAGGCTGAGGCAGCCTGAGGCTGAGGCCGAGGCTGAAGGCAGACTGAGGCTGAGGCTGAAGCAGGCTGAGGCTGAGGCTGAGGCAGGCTGAGGCTGAGGCAGGCTGAGGCTGAGGCTGAGGCAGGCTGAGGCTGAGGCTGTGACTGCGACTGCCGTTGCCACTGCGACTGTCATCGCGAATGCGACTACGACTGCGAGAACAGCAGAATTCTACAACTGGATTATCATCTGAATCTTAAGGGGAATGCTTCCAGATATGCTCCTACACATCGCTGTTAGGTTGCTTTGCCGGGATAATTTCTAAATGATGGTCAATTTCTTCACTGAACTCGAGCTGCAGAGCAGCTCGAGAGCTCTTCAGCCAAAAAATCAGAAGGACATCGTGAGGCGCGAAGCATCTAGACGCTTGGTTTGGGTCTGTTGTGAGCGCAGACGCCAAACACGGATTCGTACTCTGCTATTTTCTCCCTAATGGTATTTTCTAGACGCTGCAGATGAGCTATAGAACTGTTCAGCACAGCAATGGGATATTACTGGACGCCTGAGATCCTATCAGCGCTCGGGCTGAAAAACTATTCGTTCTCTGCTAATTCTTTGGACATAATATATGGTCAGGAAGCTCTACGAGTCCCCCGGCGGTAAGAAAGGTTGACGGTTTACCGCCGGCGCCCAGTTCGGCGACAGGGTGAAGCTAGTTGGCGAAATTTCGAAAAGGAACGCGACCATTCCTTCCGCGGCCTGGCTCAGCCGATTTTGCAGATCCAACCATTCGTTTGGGCTGGTAATTGTGCAGAGCGAAGCTTTGCATTACAGAAGTTACCTCTGAAATTCTTAGCTCATTCCATCAACAAATTCTCGCGAGCGAAGCAGCGACTTGACCACAGATTGACATGAAAAGTTGAAACTTTAAGATTTTGATAAAATCTACTGCGAAGTTCTCTGCTTTGATTCTGGCACTCTTACGCGTGCAAGGAGCTCTACGAGTTTCCCGGCGGTGACCAGGTTGACGGTTCACCGCCGGCGCCAGTCGATGACGAAGAGCTCTACGAGGTATTCCCGGAGAGCTCCCTGAGAGCTATAGGGTTTTAGTTGGGAGCCGGAGCCTTGTAGAGCTCTTTTCTTCCCGGAGCGCTCTCTGAGAGCTAGAGGGTTTTAGATTAGAAGCCGGACGGTGGTGGTGCCTGCCAGGAGCTCCTCCAAGGCGGCCCACGTCCGCCGCAGCAGTTCGCCCGTGCCGGCAGCTGGTCCGGGAGCGCTTCCGGCACGCGTCCACGCGTGCCTGCGCGCGTGCAGGCACGCATGGACGCGTGCCTGGCAGCGCTTTCGAAGTGCTTCAAGGGGGCCCCCAGAGCACTCCAGGAAAGATTTCTCGTCCCCGAGGGTCTCTTCGCTCTCCGGGTTTTGGACGCTACCAAGTCGCACGGCGCTGCTCCGAACACGTGCGGGAGCTTCCTCACAGGTGAGCTGAAAACTCGAACAATTTTTACCTAACAGCGTTTCCTGATAAGTTTCTAGTAGGGTCAAAAGAGAGCATCATGACTCCTCAGGGGGGTCTGGGCGGGTGCCGGGGAGGAGAGCCCGGAATCGTTTTTCGCCAACAGTCACACACTTCGTGCTCTTCGACCTCCCAGAACTTCATTCCCGGAACACATTCTGGAGAACCGGGAACAGAGCCGGGCTCGCTTTTTGCCAACAGTCACACACACTTCGTGCTCTTCGACCTCCCAGAACTCCATTCCCGGGCCACTTTCTGGAAAACCGGGAACAGAACCAGGCTCGTTTTTCGTCAACAGTCACACACTTCGTGCTCTTCGACCTCCCAGAACTCCACTCCCAGGCTACATTTTGAGTGCCCGGAGCCAACTGTGGGCCACTTCGTGCTCTTCGAGTTCCCAGAACTCCATTCCCGGGCCACATTTTGGATGCCCGGAGCCAACTGTAGGCCATTTCGTGCTCTTCGATTTCCCAGAACTCCATTCCGGGCCACATTTTGGATGCCCGGAGCCAACTGTAAGCCACTTCGTGTTCTTCAAGTTCCAGAACTCCACTCCTGGGCATGATTTTGAACGCTTGGAGCCAGCTGTAGGCCACTTCGTGTTCTTCTAGTTCCCAGAACAATATTCCTGGGCCACATTTTGAATGCTGAGGCAGGCTGATGCTGCGGCCGAGGCAGGCTGAGGCTGAGGCCGAGGCTGAAGGCAGACTGAGGCTGAGGCTGAAGCAGACTGAGGCTGAGGCTGAGGCAGGCTGAGGCTGAGGCTGAAGCAGGCTGATGCTGAGGCAGGCTGAGGCTGAGGCTGAGGCTGATGCAGGCTGAGGCTGAGGCAGGCTGAGGCTGACGCCGAGGCTGAAGGCTGACTGAGGCTGAGGCTGAGGCTGAAGCAGGCCGAGGCTGAGGCAGGCTGAGGCTGAGGCAGGCTGAGGCTGAGGCTGAGGCAGGCTGAGGCTGAGGCTGTGACTGCGACTGCCGTTGCCGCTGCGACTGTCATCGCGAATGCGACTACGACTGCGAGAACTGCAGAATTCTACATTTGAATCTTAAGAGGAATGCTTTCAGATATGTTTCTACATATCGCTGTTAGGTTGCTTTGCCGGGATTTTTTTGTGTGCTTTTACCTAACAGCGTTTGCTGATAGGTTTCTAATATGGTCAAAAGAGAGCATCATGACTCCTCAGGGGGGTCTGGGCGGGTGCTGGGGAGGAGAGCCGGGAATTGTTTTTCGCCAACAGTCACACACTTCGTGCTCTTCGACCTCCCAGAACTCCATTCCCGGGACACATTCTGGAGAACCGGGAACAGAGCCGGGCTCGCTTTTTGCTAACAATCACAGACTTCGTGCTCTTCGACCTCCCAGAATTCCATTCCCGGGCCACTTTCTGGAGAACCGGGAACAGAGCCGGGCTCGTTTTCGTCAACAGTCACACACTTCGTGCTTTTCGACCTCCCAGAACTCCACTCCCGGGCTACATTTTGAGTGCCCGGAGCCAACTGTAGGCCACTTCGTGCTCTTCGAGTTCCCAGAACTCCATTCCCGGGCCACATTTTGGATGCCCGGAGCCAACTGTAGGCCACTTCGTGCTCTTCGACTTCCCAGAACTCAATTCCCGGGCCACATTTTGGATGCCCGGAGCCAACTGTAGGCCACTTCGTGTTCTTCAAGTTCCCAGAAATTCATTCCTGGGCATGATTTTGAATGCCCGGAGCCAAGTGTAGGCCACTTCGTGGCCTATCTTGTTCCCAGAACTCCATTCCTGGGCCACATTTTGAATGCTGAGGCAGGCTGATGCTGCGGCCGAGGCAGGCTGAGGCTGAGGCAGGCTGAGGCTGAGGCCGAGGCTGAAGGCAGACTGAGGCTGAGGCTGAAGCAGACTGAGGCTGAGGCTGAGGCTGAGGCTGAGGCTGGAGAGGCTGAGGCTGAGGCAGGCTGAGGCTGCTGGGCTGAGGCCGAGCTGAAGGCAGACTGAGGCTGAGGCTGAAGAGGCAGGGCTGAGGCTGAGGCAGGCTGAGGCTGAGGCTGAGGCAGGCTGAGGCTGAGGCTGTGACTGCGACTGCCGTTGCCGCTGCGACTGTCATCGCGAATGCGACTACGACTGCGAGAATAGCAGAATTCTACAAGTGGATTTTCATTTGAATCTTAAGGGGAATGCTTTCAGATATGCTTCTACATATCGCTGTTAGGTTGCTTTGCCGGGATATTTTTTGTGTTTTTACCTAACAGCGTTTGCTGATAGGTTTCTAATATGGTAAAAAGAAAGCATCATGACTCCTCAGGGGGGTCTGGGCGGGTGCTGGGGAGGAGAGCCGGGAATTGTTTTTCGCCAACAGTCACGCACTTCGTGCTCTTCGACCTCCCAGAACTCCATTCCCGGGACACATTCTGGAGAACCGGGAACAGAGCCGGGCTCGCTTTTTGCCAACAGTCACACACTTCGTGCTCTTCGACCTCCCAGAATTCCATTCCCGGGCCACTTTCTGGAGAACCGGCCCCGAGCATCCACAGATCAAAAAAGTTTGATATGGATCAAGAAACTTAATCCAGATCTAGATGTTTGATCCGAGATAAAAAAATGATAACATATAAGAAAAAATCACCAGATCAAAGTTCTTGATATGGGCCTCTGCCTGGGCCAGGGTGGTCGGCGCGGCGAGATCGGTGATCGGGGCCTAGAGGGTGGGGGCCGATGGGGACCTATCGGGCGGGACCCATATGGGGACCCATGGGGTGGGACCCACGTGGTGTTAGCGGGGCGCGACCCGCAGATTGGGCTGGCCCCTATGCGGGACACGCGGACGTGGCATGGGGCCCAAGGGAACCCGATGGGGCCCAGTAAGACATGGACGGGGGCGGGGTGGGGCGGGCGGGGGATGGGGCAAAGTATATAAACGGCTGGACGGGGGGGCATTGAGGCCCAGTTCGTTTCGATGTAAGTCCAATGTGGCCCATGGGGCCCACGGGGTCTAGTTGGCCCCAAACAGGGTAAGCTTGCGCCCAATAGGGCACTATGCAAAAAGGGCCCGTCGGGCCCGAGAGCGTCCATCCCGCGTTGCAAGTCTGCTGTAGTTTGCAGTCTGGTCGAGCCGCTGGTCGAACTGCTGGTCGAGCTCGCGCTCGACGGCCGCGCGGCTGCGCGGGGACTGCGCGGAGCGGGAGGGGCGGGGTGCGCGGGGCGGCGGTGGTGGTGCGGGGGGGGGGGGGGAGGGCGAGTTTTTTTCATCCATGCTCCTCATCCTCCTCCTCCTCCTCCTCCCCCCTCCTCCCTCCTCCTAATCCCTCTCCTCCTCCTTATAATCCCTCCTCATATTCCTCTCCCTCCTCCTCCTCCTCTCCTCCTCGCCCCCCCCCTCCCTCCCTCCTCCTCCCCCTCCCCCCTCCTCCTCCCCCTCCTCGGCACCAGCCTTCGGCGGCCTTCGGGGGTCCTCGGCCCCCCTCCCCCTCCTCCTCCTCCTCCTCCTCCTCCTCCTCCTCATCGTCATCCTCCTCCTCGTCTTCCTCCTCCTCCTCCTCGCCCTCCTCCTCCCCCCCCCCTCCCTCCTCCCCCTCCCCCCCCCCATCCCCCCCCCCCTCCTCCCCCCCCCACCCCCCCCCTCCCCCCCCCCCCCCCCCCCCTCCCACTCGTAGCCGCAAGCATACTGATGCGGGGCTCCACGCGCGTTTGTTGTTTGTAAGTAGGTGTCGGCGCACTAGCTACGGATGATATTACTTCTGATTCTGCGTTGCAAATCCAGTCGTTAGTGTTACTGCTGCCGATGTCCTATGATTTCTATTGTTATATCATCAATTACTAATAGCATCATCTGATGTTATTATCGCTGCGTGCCTAGCCAGAGTTGCGAGGGTGTCTCAAGCGAAGAATTGCGAGGATGTCTCAAGCGAAATGGGCTGGACCACCTCTTGAACGGCATCTCAGAGCTCAGCGGGTCGGCGCAAGCCCCCCAACTATAATGGCGCGAGCCTGTATATTTTTGTTTGGGCCCAGCGGGTTGGCGTGAGCCTCCCAGTTATCATGGCGCAAGCCATTATACATTTATCAACCCTCGCGCACAGCACGGTTCAAAGAGAGCTCTAACACGAACAAGAAATTCTCAAGACATTTGTTCCCTACCATCTCCATCGGTGTTCCTGCGATGCAGGACTTCGCGATCAAGACCATATCCAATGAAACTCTCGAAATCGTAGCACCATGTGCAAAACGGATTCTGGTACTTTGACAAATAAACGACATGCCACAGCATATGGAACTTCATTGTGAAATGGCACAACAACTTGCCATTTGATACGGCCGTAGTCGTCAACCAATTGTAGTGCATATGGGGCCGTTCCACGTCTCGCAGCGCATCAGATGATTCACCTGCCGACAAAAACATGCTTCCACCAGTCAAGTTTCTGCGCATAGAAGCGAGAGCCGCCAACGCTGCAAGCCTGCGATTGTCCCTGTCGGATCCAGCGTTGACCCTGGCGCACAAATACTCAAAGGCGTACAATAACGATCTGGACTCTGCCGCCTTAGCCTTGAGAAACGGAAGCTCCGTAGCGCTTGGCCTGAACATTTATATCTTCAGATTTGTGAGCTTGTTCGTAATGTGAAGAAGTCCGTGCACCTCTTGCATGTCTTGCCACAATAACTTCACCTTCTTGTCAGCTGCACCAGTGCACGGCCCGTCGAAAACCAACTCCGTGAGAACAGAGCCAAGGAAATACGAGAGAACGCCTAAGTCACCGCAGTGCATGAGATCGCCCATGTAGTGCCACCTGTCGACTCCAACTACGTTGAAGACCTCATTGTTTGAGAGCGGTTCTACATCAGGGCCAGGCTCCACGAGGTGTCTTTTCCACTCTGCCCGAGGATGCACATCTGTGAACTGGTAGGGCGCAGCACCTCTGCCAGCTTGGCAGAGCCAACACGCGAAATCACTGCCCCAGTGCGGGTACCCCCATTCGTTGCTGGCCCATTCTTGGTCCCCTTGGAGTTGCCATACAACGAAAAAATGTTTACCCTTGCATATATCATCACCTGCAATCGAAGATTGGTTGCTATATTCGTCCCATTCCCTGCCCCAAGGATCCACATCAGAATGCTTCCCATAAAAGAGGGCATTCAGCACGCGTCGCAGAACTCTCCATATTTTGTCAAATGTGTGGTCCTCGGTAGACAAGCATGTCTTCACCACGGTAATAAGTGACATGATCCATTTGCAAGTTTTCGCCAGCAAGCCCTTCAAGTTGACAACTATCAAGTTCCGCTCATTCTTTTTTCGTGAAAGGCGCGCCATCACCGTGGAGCACAAACGGTATAGCGTTTTGTTTCCAGTCTGGCCTAGACGTCATTTCACCTAAACTTGCAAGCCGTGGGCCGAACGGACGAACTCCGTTCCAGCAGGTCGTAGGGTCCCCCCCAAACGCTTCCACAAATACAGAAGGGTACTCATTGTACATCACATCTATGACTTCAGCTGGATTCAGAAAACTAATAGGTGAATCGAACGCTGGCAAATCTTTTTGCACCATCGGCAATACTACAGTAATCAGTTTCGGCACTGACATGTTATTGCAAAACGCTCTCAACAGATCCCTGCGACAATTGCCTGGGCATTCGCCGTGGCAACCGATGGCACTTAGAGTTGTGATGTCGGGCTGATCGAGCCCGTCGTCAACTGCTGACTGCGCCAACCATTGCGCTGTGCAAGAACTTATTAGGCCCCATCCCACAAGCAGCAACATATGTTCAGCAAGCTTGCTGTGGGTCTTGGTGCCCTGCTCTGCGCATGTATCTGCAACGTGAGCTTGACGTTGCGACCATCCACCGCTGGTTGCAACCCTTGCTTTTACTGTCGCCTCCCAAGGTGATTCCATGAAATATGGATTTCCAGAAGTGGTGGTATGTACCTGGATGACTGGTCTGAGCCAAAATGGGCTACGAGCTTTGCGTGTGTCGAGTGTTGGCATCGCGTTGCGAATTGTTGTTCAGTAGTGTTGAAAGTTGGCATTGTATGGTTTACTGAATGTTGACGTGTGTTGAATGTTGTTGGTGTTGTTGAATGTTTGTATTGTTGGCTCTCAACATTATGTTGTCCGTTGAATGTTGCTGAGTGTTAGCGTTACTGGCTCTTAACATCATGCAACCCCTAGTTGATCAGAGTGCTTAAAAAAATAAAGGCCTTCAAAGCTTGAAAGTTCGTAAGTTATAAAATCATAAAGCTTGACAATGTACAGGGAAAGCTTGCAGCGTTGGAATGCCAACCCATACGTTTGAAAGTTCAAAAGTTTGGAAGTTCGAAAGTTTTCCAAGTTTGAAAATTTGACTCACCTCCTCCTCCTCCCCCTCCTTCTCCGCCTCCTGCTTTTGCGTGACTCCAGGTTGCTCCCGATGGTTTTGACCAACCTGGTTCTCCCGAGGGGTTTGACCAACCTGGTTCACCCGAGGGGTTTGACCTGGTTTCACTCAATTTCAAAAAAGTTCAAACGTGCCAAACGTGCCAGACGTTTCAAAAGTTTCAAACGTTTCAAAAGTTTCAAAATTATCAAAAGTTCCAAACGTTGCAATAGTTTCAAAAGTTCCAAAAGTTTCAACGATACAAACGCTCAAAAGTTTCGAAACCATCTCAGTCTTCGATTTCAGGATACCCGATCGACACCGAGCCCGTATTATCTAATCCCTACCTTTGAATATGTATTGGTATATGTTGAGCAGTTGTTGAGTGTTGCGATTGTTTGTTGTATGATGACAGAATTGAATGTTGTGTTCCCACTACTATGTGTACAACTATGGTTACACTTTACAACTCTGGTTACGACTCTGTCAATAGTTTAGGTGTCTACTGTTCAATTCGGCGGTCTTATGCTGTGGCGAAGTCTGACCATCGTATTCACAATCGGTCCCATCACCGCCTCCTCCTCCTCCTGCTCCTGCTCCTCCTCCTCCTCCTCATCCTCCTCCTCCTCATCCACCTCCTCCTCGTCCTCCTCCTCCTCCTCCTCCTCCCCCTCCTCCTCCTCCTCATCTTCATCCTCCTCCTCCTCCTTCCCAAGGAGGAGCAGGAGGAACAACGACGCGCGCGCGCAAGGGTCGCACGTTCTCCAACGGACGAGGTCCACAGTTGGGCGGGCGCAACAGCGCAGAGTGAAGCATCACATATGTAATCACTACTGCATCGGAAACTCGAGGCTGGGATCTCCCCACTGGACGGTCCATGCCATTGAGTGCATCATTACTATAACTGAAATTCGAACTAGTGCATCAGGCATTGCCTCATGCGCGCCATGCGCCTCCGCTCCTAATGGGGCGATGCGCGACAGGATGCAAATTAGGCTAATGTGGCCCCCAGGGGCGCCTCGAGGCCCCCAACATTTCCTCATGCGCGCCCTGCGCCGCTGGCAGGCCCCGTTCGGACAGGCACGCTCGGGCCCAGGTGGGCCCGCAGGCCGTGCATGAGGAAATAGCGGGTGGTTCGAGGCGCCCCTGGGGGCCCCATTGAGCGTGGTGAAGGAAGGCCTGTTAGCGAGAATCCACCAACACCAGCAAACTGCAAAATATAGAAATCGATACCATCAGCCACAACATCCACATGTAACGTAACCATTGATGATTGGCCAACGCACGTCGTAGCATTCAACTCGAAATCGTACCCTAGTCTGACTTCTTGAAGAAAGCCTTGTTCGTGAAGAGCTCCTTTGAGGAGACCATGAGCCTGGCTGCGTTCATCGTCTCCCTCTTCATCTCCTTCTTGTCTGGGGTCCGCTTGGCCAGCGCCGCCCTGGGCGTCTTGGCGACTGCCTCGGCCTGCTTAGACGTGTCCAACCATGCATCCTTGGTAGGCTTCGCGAGCTTGTCGGCCTTGCAGCGCACGGAGTAGTCCTGGGCCTTCAGGGTCAGCTTGTTCATGGTGTTGATCGCCTTCCTCGTCGCAGCCTTGATCGTCTCGATGTCGTTCTGAGGGGCAGGAATGAGAGTGAATATAAGAGAAGGTGATAAGAAATAATAGGATACGGTCACACCTTGGGCGCTGGAGGTTCCTCATGATCATGTTCGTCGCCAGCGCCGTCAGCATCTGAGTGTTCTGGCGGCAGCGGCTTGCATGCGGGCTTCTTCACGACGGCGCCGAACATCGAGCTGGCGGTCTCAGCCTCGAACCAAGAGCTCATGCCAGTTGAGTGCTGGTCGTACTCCGATGCGCCGACACGCCGAGACCTAGGAGATCAAACAAGCGCACACACAATGTCACGACTGACGATCCCTGAACAAAAACTGAAAGCATCAGAAGCGAACGCTACCTTACAAATTCAAACCGAAATCATACAGTGATCCACGTAAAACAATTACATATGCATTACAGATGTATTACGTAATACATCTGTAATACATCTGTAATAGTTTTTGGTTGTTTCCAGGTATGTTAAAACCGTTCCAAACTGTTTCAAAATTGGTTTGATGTGTTCAGTGTTGCGCATTGTGTGCACCACTTGCTAGATACAGGAGCCCCACTGGACTTCTCAACTTCTGCAGTGATCCCCTCCCTGGTCGAAGTCTCCCTGTACTTCTCGTTTTTGATATAGCAGATGTCCCCGTCCTCATCCCTCGTTTCCTTGAATGTACCTTTTCCGAATAAACTCAGCTGCTTCCGCTTCTCCATGAATCTGTTCCAATGCTCCTGAAATACTGGATGAGAGAGATAGAGAAGAGAACCATGAGGTAACATAAAGGTAAGGACGAGTACGATGTATACGTTGGGTAACCTGATCTCCTCTGAACAATGGTCTCTCCCTCGGTCCACTGACAGATGATTTCGTCAACTTTTTGCTCTCTTTGACAAGCATTGTCTTCCACTGATCACCGCTGGGATCCTTGAGGAACAACCAAAGAGTATCATGTGTTCTCTTCTTTTCCTGAGCGAGCTGGTAAAGCTGCGATCGCACCCCACGCTTCTCCCACCGACATATCGCCCTTGTTCCGTGCAGTCTTGAGTTTCTGCCAGAGTGCCGACATCTCCGCCGATGAGAAAAACTCTTTGATCTTCTTCGGGTCTGGCTCCTCGGGCTCCAAAGATAGAAAGGAACACACGACTCCAAAGACAAGTGGGGATGGGACCATGTGTGTGAGCGTTGTGTTATGTTGTGTCCAACCCGAGCTGGAAGGGAAACTCGTTTACCGAACTGAGGCTCCTTGCCCATGATCATTTGGAACTCCTCGATGCGCCCATCTAGGACGCCCTTGTCAGCCTTTGTATATATATATATATATATATATATATATATTATACGGGTTCCTCCGAATCTGTTGGGGGGGCGGCCACGACGGCCGATGGGCGCTTGGCGACCTTGGCGCCCTTGACGGGGTCGGCAGCAGCAGGTCGGGGGCCGACGCCTTTGGGCGCCATTCTGGCGCAGGGCGGGTCAGTTACCAACGCCACCTGGCAGCTCGAGGATAGATGGCAATGGTCGAAGGCAGCAACAACACATTGACTTGGAATCTGATGTAAAATAACTGAGTCTGGGTCCTACTGTAGTGAGTCTGGCTATGAGTGTTAACGTAAGGCTGACTGTGAGTCTGCCTGTGAGTGAGTCTGACTGTGTGTGTGAGTCTGACTGTGGCTGTCAATAGTCCTAGTATGAGTGTGCGTATGAATATGAGTTTGAGTCTCACTGTGAGTGCGAGTATGACTGCGAGTCTGACTGTGACTGAGTCTGAGTGCGAGTGTGAGTCTTGCTGCGAGTGCGCATCTGATTGTCAATGCATCACTATGTGTGTGCTTCGAGCGCATACTGTCTATAGTTTTACTGCGTGTGTGCTGCGAGCGCGTCAGAGCACTCGCGGGTAAAGACTGGTCACAAGCGGCGTTCAAGATACTTCCCCAGAGCTCTGGCAGACAACGCCTGATCACATGCACGATACTTCCCCTGATCACACGCGGCGTGCACGATACTTCCCCTGATCGCAAGCGGCGTGTACGATACCCCCCCTGATCACATGCGGCGTGTAAGATACTTCCCCTGACCACATGCGGCGTGTAAGGTATTTCCCCTGATCACATGCGGCGTGTACGATACTTCCCCTGATCACATGGGGCGCGTCAGATACTTCCCCTGATCACATGCGGCGTGTAAGAGACGTCCCCTGATCACACGGGGCGCGCGAGGTACTTCCCCTGACCACATGGGGCGTGTAAGATACTTCCCCTGATCACATGCAGCGCGTGAGATACCCCCCCTGAACACATGCGGCGTGTAATATACCTCCCCTTTTGAAACCCTGGCACGCGTGAGCGCCGTTTTGTTTCGCTTGAGTGTTTCGATTTTTTTTGCGTTGTAGACTTGCTCCAATCGAACTTACAAGCCCCCCCACCAAGGAGCGCCATCACCATCGTTGGGTGATTCAGAGAACACGCCTGAGACTGCCGCTCCCTCAGGCTCGGGTTCCTCGTGGGGCCCCTCGTGAGAATCTGTTGCAACAGCTGTTTTTTTGTTTGTTTGATAGCTCTACTCGTCTTCTTCCGTGATTCCTCAACCAATTTGCATTTCATCGCGGCTGCTTTCTCTTTCGTGCTCTTGTTCTGTATAATGTAATCGAAAATTTGCTTCGCATTGGCAGCATGATGATCGCAATTCCCAACATTCACAATATAAGTCCATTTCCCAGGGTTGTCAACGTCTTGCTGAAGAAGATACGATGCTGCCGTGTACCGACACAGGCGAACCATGCCGAAACTTTTAGTAGCTGAAACGGGATGGCAACTCGCCGGCTTTTTCTTAACACCTGACAGTTTTTTTCATCCCCCCACGGTCTGTAGGTAGCGGTTCCGACGACCTCTCAACCGCTGCGCTGAACAACGCGCCCCCTGCACTCACATCATCGACATTGCTGGAGCTGGCGCCGAAACATGTAGGCACACCGCTGGAATCAACGCTGATATCACTGTCTGACTCGAACAGCTTGCTGGCTGGAGGGCTGCTGGCACGAGCAGGGCTGCTGCGACAAGCGAGCGCGCGGGTGGCTGAAGGAGGGGCGATGTCGGCGCCGTGGTGGTCCTCAGGGTCGGAAGCACCAGACAGATCCGACGCGTCAATCAAATCGTGAACCTCGTGACGAGCATTTGGGACAGTGCTAATGTATCGTTGTAAGGTTTGCTAGTTCCAGTGCAACAGCGCGCACCACATAACAATACTTAACCAGAAGGTACACCTCTACGAAACTAGCCGCTGAGTATATCGTAGTTATGGCACTGCTCGTCGTAGTCGCAATTGCAACGGAGATCCTTGCACAAAAAAAAATAGTTTCAACATTTGTAGTATAATTTGTAGTCGTAGTAGAAGTAGTACTTGTATTATCGGTAGTCAGAGTAGCGGTAGTGCTTGTAGTACCAGTAATGACACTAGTATCAACAATCGTAGTAGTAGTGGTAGTCGTACTAGTAGTGCTACTGGCGGCAATGGCAGTAGTAGTATCAGCAGTATTCGTGACGGCAGTGGCAGTAGTAGAAGCCGTATTCGTAGTCGTAGTGGTAGTAGTTGTTGTAGTAATTGTAGTAGTTCTAGCAGCCCTAAATAGTAATGGTCGTAGCAGGCGGAACGTGGCAAATTTCGCATGAGGTGAGCGTGGTTACGTGGCGCGCGCTCTTGTAGCGGAGGAGGAGGGGGGGGGGGGGGGGGGGGGGGGGGGGGGGGGTGGGGGGGAGGAGGAAGAGGAAAGGATGAAAAGAAGGAGGAGGAGGATGAGGCGGATCAGGAGGCGGAGGAAGGGAAGGAATAGCCAACCAATACGGGTGGTACATTTGCAGCGCCCCCGATGCCCCAAGAGCCTCCATCAAGAAACTGTCGAGCTCATTCTTCTCTGAAGAGGATAATCGCTTGACCAGCTGGCCGTGCCTGTGTGTTTTTTTGTTTTTTCTGATCAACGCCCGTAGATGAGCCGATGCATGCAATATTTGATAGCCAACTGTCCGTGATAAATCAAAGTTATTGAACGTAGTTGTATTGATATCGATGTCGTACCTCGTCTTATAATACTTGATGAACCGACCAACCGCCGAACGCATTTCTAGTGGAAGGAAACGAATGTGTGCTGTCTCTGCACACAAAGCGAGCAAAAGAGGCTTCATGCATTTGATGCCATCCCAATCCGCCCCCTGAGACCGTCTCCAAGAAGTGCACGGGCCGAACGAAAAAAATCCTTAGAGGGAGTGGCATCAGCATACCTTTTGAACGCAGCGTCGAATTTTGAAATTGAAGTCGGGGCGATCGGGCCAAGGTTGCATGCCCTCTTCCCTTTCGCAGGCATATGATATGGAGAAATACGGTGAGCGCCTGGAGCCAGAATGGCTGTCGAGGAGTGAGAAGGGAGGATCATATAAGACAACGCAAAGTGCAGCCTGGGTGAGCTCCGGAACCAAACGCAGCAAACGTAGTAGCAGCACTCGAAATAGCAATGGTCGTCGGGGGGGGGGGTGGGAGAGGGGGGGGGGCGAGGAGGAGAGGATGAGAAGGAGGGGCGGGGGGAGGAGGAAGAGGAGGAAGAGGAGGAAGAGGAGGAGGGGGAGGAGGAACACAGCCCGCGGCCCACTTCTCAGGTCAGACGCCCCCCCCCCCCCCCCCATGGTTTGACTAGTGCGAGACATAAGCCGCTGACCCAGTTGGGCCCCAGGTGTGTGTGACGCCATGCTGTGCTATGCTGAGCAACGCAGTGCTACCCTATTCTATGATATATGATATGATATGCCGTGCACTGCTGTGCTAGATTTTAGATAATACCATTATCATGTGTGTGCGTGTGTGCGCCTGTGTGTCTGTGTGTCTGCGTGTCAGTGTGTGTGTGTGTGTCTGTTTGTGTGGTGGTGGGTGGTGGTGGTGGTGGTGGTGGTTGGTGGTGGTGGTGGTGGTGGTGTGGTGGTGGTGGTGGGTGGTGGTGGGTGGTGGTTGTTTTGGTGGTGGGGTTGGGGTGGTTGGGTTGGGCTGGGCTGGGTGGGGAGGGGGGGGGGGGGGGGTGCGGGGGGGGGGGGGGGGGGGGGGAGGGGCGGAAGGGGAGATGGTGGGGGGGGGGAGGGGGAGAAGGGAGAGAGGGGAGTGGCGGTTTGAGGGTTGCAGGGGGAGAGCAGGGGGCGGGGGGGCGGAGGCGTGGAAGGGGGGGGGGGGGGCGGGGGCGGAGGGAAGTGGGACAAGGGAAGGGCGAGGGATTGGAAGGTTGAAGGAGGAGGAGGTGGGTGAGGGGGGAAGGAAATGAGGGGATAAAGGGGAAGGGTGAGGAGGGGGGGAGAGGGTGTGTGTGTGTGTGTGTGTGTGTGTGTGTGTGTGCGTGCGTGTGTGTGTGTGTGTGTGTGCGTGTGTGCGTGCGTGTGTGTGTGTACTCCCTGCTCCTCACTGCCCAGTCTCTTTTCCCTACTCCCCATGGAATATTTAAAAATCCCTACCCTCCGCCCTCTCCCTAGTTTCAACTGCCTGCTCACTACTCCTCGCCGTATTCTCTACACCCGAAGCCCTAATCACCACCCCTAACTCCTTACTCCGTACTCCCTCTTTGCCCGATACCCGTGGGCTCGTTTTTCTAATCTCTTTTCCCGACTCCCTTTAGAATATATAATCCCTACCTCCGCCCTCTCCCTAGTCTCAACTGCCTGCTCACTACTCCTCACACTACTCTCTA